TAGATATTAAAATTAGAACAAAAAGAGACACCACCATGTAGCTGATCTTACAGAACAATTTAGAGAAGGAAGAGCAAGTCTTTCATTATCTCACTGTGATCACCAGAGGTGAAACAGTGAGAGAAGCCCACATACCCATAACTAAAGATAAATGTAAATGACAGTGTCCCAGTATGCCTCAGTTCCATTAAACAAAGCTATTTGGAGGAAAATATTACATTGGAAACCATACTGCATAACACCAAGGCCAGGAATCAGTACAAGAACATTAATACCTTCAATGAATTGTCAGGCATAAAACCACAAATAACAGAGACAGATTCCCTGAGGTCAAGTTCTATGAAATACATTTGACTATACAGTTTGACTTGGAGAAAACAGAGCCAAGTATATACTGCAACACTGCCCAAGATAATAGGCAATCTTAACCAATTAAAACCATTTCCCTGATTCCAACTAACCAAAATGATGCTGCTTCTATTTTAAGCACATATCCTCCAGAACACATATATTAGAAAATAGTGGCAAAGAACCTTCCAACTTTTTAATGAAGACCACTGCACTTGACATAGCACCTGACTTCATGAAATATATAAATCACACGCTTCTTAAGAATTAGATTGAATGGCCAGAGAGAGTTACCAGAGAAAATAAGGGTTGAGCTGGGCCTTCAGTGACCAAAAGCTATCTATGAGAACATCTGGTGACTATTCCAAGAAAAGAGAACTGTAAGTGCTAAACTGTAGTAGGAAAGAGCTGAGTAAATCTGTTTATGCTGCAGATAAATTTGAAGCAAACTCTTTCTGCTGTAACCTAATTTATAAGCTTTCATTTAGAAATTTTTTTCCCATCTGAATTTGGTTGAAAATGATCTCCAAAATTTCTTAAATTTGAAATCAATTACATTTAGAATAGTTGTTTCCCTATAAACACTTTTTCTAACATTTCAGTCACTCTTTATTTAGTATCTGTTATGGTCCATATCCTAATGGGTTGTAATAATGGTAAATTTACTTCTGTGTTTACTTACTATGTTCCAGGCATTGTTCTAAATAAGTTATTTATATGATTCAGCAGCCAGCAGCCAACAGCCCAATAACCCTATGAGGTAGGTAGTATTATTGCCTCCACTTTGGAGATGAGAAAATTGAGGTAAACAGATTGCTACCTATGCAAGGTCACACAACTAACAGGTAACTGAGCTAGTATACAAACCATGCATGACATGTGTTGATGGTAAACTTTTGATCTCTCTACTATTCTTTAGTAAGTTTACAGTCACTAATGAAGCAAAATATCTCAGTAAATTTAAAGCCAAGCAGGAGACATGAACAAAGGTAATTTACACTTTAGTTATAACAGATACTCATCCCAGTAGACCATGGAGTGCATGAGTTTATAGACACTAAATGCTTCATTCATCACTGTATATCCAGTAGCTTGTTGTTTGGCACAGACACAGACACACACACACACACACACACACACACACACCCCTTGTAGTCTGGCACATACACACACACACCCCCACAAAATGTTTGTCAAATACTTGAGAGAGGGAAGCACAAAGTACAAAGTCATAATAGGGTGCTTAACCTAGAGGGAGAAAGGGGTCAGGAAAGCCTTGCTGAAGTGACACTTAGGTTGAGACCTGAGGGTTAAGTAGGACTCAGACAAAGGGTAAACTCATCTGGGTGGAGTGAACAGCTTGTTACAATGATCTATGGCCCAGAAGTGGGAGAATGAGTAAGTTCCTTGAAAAAAATGTAGGTTCAGAGTGGATTGACCATATACTGAATGAACGTGGAGCTGGGGCTGAAAAGGTAAGTGGAGCACTCATACTCTTGTGCATCCTTTTGTGAAATATAAACCGAGCCCTGAGAGCAATAAGATGTCACTGAAGGGTTGTCAGCGTGGTAGTAACACAATCAAATATGTCTCAGAAAAATCACTTTGGTGGCAGTGAAAACTAAATTGGATGGTAAAGATATTGCCATTTGATAGATGATAATGGTTTGAAATAGGACAGTGGCTGTAAGGATGAAGTAGAGTGAGTGAAGAGCTTCTTAAGAAGTAAAATCAGAAGTAGCGAGGGAAAGGGAGAAATATAAAGTTATGGCTCTAGTGTCCAGCTTCCACAGTTGGGATGTGTGGCGTGCCATTTATTTTTACTGAAACCCAAAAGGAAAAGCAAATTTTCAAGGAAGAGGAAAAGTTCCATTTTGAACCTGTATTTTTTTTGAGATGGAGTTTTGCTCTGTTGCCAAGGCTGGAGTACAGTAGCACGAGCTCAGCTCACTGCAACATCCACCTCCCAGTTTCAAACTATTCTCCTGCCTCACCCTCCCGAGTAGCTGGGATTACAGGTGCCCACAACCATGCCCAGCTAATTTTTTTTTTGTATTTTTAAGAGATGGGTTTCGCCACGTTGGCGAGGCTGGTCTTGAACTCCTGACCTCAGGTGATCTGCCCGCCTCAGCCTCCCAAGGTGTTGGGATTATAGGCATGAGCCACTGCACCCAGCCATTTTGAATATTTAGACTTGAGTTTCCTGAGATACTTTCAAGTATTTTTCTAGTACACATCTGGCTAAACTAAATCTGAAGCACAGAAGAATCAAAGTTGGAAATGTGGATTTTAGAATCCATTTAGAACTCATAACTGAAACAGGAATAGTGAGATCAATATACTATTTTGTTATTGTATCCAGAATCTTTCCTTTCTGTTATTGATGGAACTGCCACTATTGGTGAGATCTTGGTAAGAATAAACTACTTGATAAATGATCCACTGTAAAGCCAGATATGGTGGGAGCTTTTCAGGTGTCAATCTTCTAAGTGTAGCAAAATACCTAGATTACCAAAACAGGAAATTTTGTCACCTAGCATCCTAAACTGTTTTTTTGTTGTTGTTGTTTAATATATACTATTCGGAAACCTCAAGACATAATACAAAACCTAAATATTGAGGGAAATCTTGCTTAAGCTTACATATTCTGTGTTAAAATCTTAGTCACGGCCAGGCACGGTGGCTCATGCCTGTAATCCCAGCACTTTCAGAGGCTGAGGCGGGTGGATCACAAGGTCAAGAGATCAAGGCCATCCTGGCCAACATGGTGAAACCCCATTTCTACTAAAAATACAAAAATTAGCTGGGCGTGGTAGCGCATGCCTGTAGTCCCAGCTACTCGGGAGGCTGAGGCAGGAGAATCGCTTGAACCTGGGAGACAGAGGTTGCAGTGAGTCAAGATAATACCATTGTACTCCACAGCAAGAATCCATCTAAAAAAAAAAAAAAAAACAAACTTATAAAAACGTTTTCAGTTAAAAGATAAATTAGCTGACCAGGCGCGGTGGCTCATGCCTGTAATCCCACCACTCTGGGAGGCCGAGGCGGGCAGATCACGAGGTCAGGAGATCAAGACCATCCTGGCTAACGTAGTGAAAACCCCATCTCTACTAAAAAACACAAAAAATTAGCTGGGCATAGTGGTGGGCGCCTGTAGTCCCAGCTACTCAGGAGGCTCAGGCAGGAGAGTGGTGTGAACCCAGGAGGCGGAGCTTGCAGTGAGCCAAGATTGCACCACTGCACTCTAGCCTGGGCAACAGACCGAGACTATCTCAAAAAAAAAAAAAGATAAACTAGCCTTCTGAAGCCTGAAAATGTCAGCATATATAATTGTAGACCTGAGGACTAGGTAACTGATTTTTTTAAAAAAACATTTTAATATAGTTTCCTGTCAGATACAAGTAAAAAGGACTTTAGGCTGGGTGTGGTGGCTCAGGCCTGTAATCCCACCAATTCGGGAGGCCAAAGCGGGCAGATCACCTGAGGTCATGAGTTCAAGACCAGCCTGACCAACATGGTGAAACCCTCGGTCTACTGAAAATATAAAACTAGCCAGGTGTGGTGGCGCATGCCTGTAATTCCAGCTACTCAAGAGGCTGAGGCAGGAAAATGGCTTGAACCCAGGAGGCAGAGGTTGCAGTGAGCCAAGATCACACCATTGCACTCTAGCCTGGGCAACAAGAGCAAAACTTTGTCCTTAAAAAAAAAAAAAAAAAAAAGGCCGGGTGCGGTGGCTCACGCCTGTAATCCCAGCACTTTGAGAGGCCGAGGCAGGTGGATCATGAGTTCAGGAGAGTGAGATCATCCTGGCTAACACACTGAAACCCTGTCTCTACTAAAAATACAAAAAACATTAGCTGGGCGTGGTGACGGGCGCCTGTAGTCCCTACTAGGGAGGCTTGGGCAGGAGAATGGTGTGAACCCAGGAAGCGGAGCTTGCAGTGAGCTGAGATCGTGCCACTGCACTCCAGCCTGGGCGACAGAGCCAGACTCCATCTCAAAAAAAAAAAAAAAAAAAAAAGGACTTTATTTTCAAACCCAAGCTTCTCATAAACCAACCTGTCAGAAACAAATTGCATACAACTCTGCCTCTTTTATCAGTAACTGATTTTTCAAAAATAGCTCATGTTGTGAGGCATTAGATTATCTTTAAAGCATGAGAAATTTGGTAGCGACTTTATGAGCAATTTTGATGAAATGACATTGATAAATGACCTCAGTTCTCAGATTATTAATTATAAGAACTCAACTGAAGAAAAACAGAAATAAAATCTTAATCCAAACCAATGGAATGATTCATTGGACTGCATTTGATAACCACTGCTTTGTTTCCAACATTTTGTGCAGGTAGATTTAGTAAGCTTTTTAAAAAAGGCACGAAGGCCTTCATCTACAAAAATTAGGGTAGTTTAAGAAAGCTCTGTATCTAATGTTTCCCAGCTTTCAAGTAGATCAGATAGAACTGGAATCTTAATATGATGCAAACATGACAATTCCCAATTTCTTTACCCCTGCTGTGTTGCTTTTTTTCATAAACCCAACTGCCTCTACCTGCAGAACAGGATCAAATTTCTTAGTCACTAAACTCCACCACGAAACCACCTCAAAAGGGACCTGACTCCCACCAACCATGAAAGAACAAGATACACTACAAAGTGAAAAACAGATGCTTTTATTTATTGTATTGAAAACAACTTAATAAAATTTGCATCTCTACATATGGGAAACTGCTTTAACTGGGAAAACAGCTATTGCATGGGAAAACATATGCAAACTAGCATCACTGTCTCTAGACTAGGTTCTTCTTATTGATCTCATGTCATCATAAGGCAACAGCAGCTTCTAGAAAATGGAGAAACAGCAAAGTCCTGCAGTGGAGCTATAATTAAGGTTGAACCATACATTCCACTAATCCTGCAACTTTCCTACTATCATTTTTCTGCCTATACAATCCTGCTTCTTATAGGATGAACACCTAGCAAAACAATGTAAATTTGCTGAAAAACAAAACTACAAACAAATGAAAGAACTTAACAGAACACACAGCATTAGAGGGACTAGGAAGTGCAAGGTGTTAATATCCAGTACAAGTAATAAAGCCAAGAATTTTCTAATGCTGACCAGTCTGAACACTGAAATTAAGAATCAGTTCTTTTTACTTCTCTAGGAGTGATTCTAGCTCTTCTTGCAAAGAGCTGAGTTGCTCCTTTTCTCGGTCTTCCTTTTGTTTGAGCTCATCCAGTACAGCCTGAAATCTGTTCTTGAGAGCCAGATTTTCCACTTTCATGATGAGATCCTCTTGTCGTTTTGCCCTGTCCTGGGTCTCTTGGAGCTTGCCTTTCATGTTGTCAATCTGCTTCTGAATTCCCATAACCAGCTGATTGGTTCCCTCATTTTCCTGGTGCTGTTCATCTGATTCATTTAGCTTGTCCTGTAGTTGTCTCTCCAGATCTTCCTCAGTGTCAATGATGTTTATATCTTCTTCATCTTGATGCTGGGTCTCATCTTCATCCTCACTGCTGCTGCTGAGGTCATTGAATATCTCCCGAAGCTCATCATGTTCTAATGAGTCATGGCCCTGCCTGTGACCAGACATTCCTGGAGAAGAGATATCCAGGCCTTGATTTTCTGCCTCCTTTGTTTCATCTTCAGCAATTATTTCCCACCGAGTACTAACAGCTTCAGCATCTGTACTCAGCAATCGTTTCACTTCTTTTTCCACATCTGGAGATTCAATATATTTCTTCTTTGCTGTCTTCCGGAACCTTCTCTTCCTGACATTCTTCAGAGGCAGAGTAATTCCGTGGTTCCAGATAAACTTCTTCTCTTTGTCCTTATCCTTTTTCTTGCTTGCTTTAGGATCAGTGCTAGCAACTGGCTCCTCCACAGGTGGATAGAGATCACCATCAACTGTGGATACAAGCATCTGACAGATATCAGCCGTCTTGTAAAAGGTTTTCTTATCAATGGTTTTCAAGCTTTCCATAACACAAGGCAGGTCTACCAATTTTGAGGCCAATGGAACACGGTCCACTCTGACGATTCCATGACGCCCATCAGGATGTAACTCAATTGTCAGTCTGTCCTTGAGGTTGACATGACCAGACTGTACTGCCCTTCTCACAGTAGAGGCATATTCTGGAGGCAGACGTAAGATAAACTGGCTCTCCAGTTCGTGAGGAGCATCATCTTTGCTTTTACTCATTTTTATTTCTTTGTGACTCACTTCTCCAATAAATGATGGTTACCGTAAAAAGTTCCAGCTACTGCAACAGTTTAAAACACCAGTTCGCTATGAATTGAAATATTTTAATTACAGGAAGTCCTCTGTAGATCAGAAGCTTAGCGTCTACTTTGCCTTCGTTTTTATTTAAGCTCCAAGTCTTTTCTCTAAATATACTGTGACCAAATACCAGTCGTTAACACAAAGGCTTATTCACAGACTTAAGTTCATTAAATCAGATGCAATGCCAAGTCCCAACCTCTAGGTGCCGCTGCCCGACAACGCGGAGACAGCTACCTAGCTAGGAAGCAGGAAAGCAAATGGCGGCTCCCGCGGAACGGTTTTCGGCCCAGAAAGGCCAGCAGAGATACTCTCAATTTACAAACTCTCCCGGAACAGACACTCAAAACATCAGGGCTCAGTGAGCTCTCTTCGCCTCGGGTACTTACAATCCAGTGACGATTATAAGTTCAGTTTCACCGGGCCGGAGCGAAGGGAAGAGGAGGCCGCAAGGAGCAAAGCGGGAGGCAGCCGAGCGTCTCCTTGTCGTTTCCTTAATTCTTCCTGCCGCTTGGCAGAGTGATCCACTATCGATTACTGATGAAAGCCCAGGATGGGCAACGCGAAATCTTGCCGAGAGGCGCAGCTCGGAGAACCAGACCCCGCACCTCGCCGGCCCTCCGTTCGACCGCTTGCCCAGAGAAAACGGAAGTGCTACGTCACGACGCGGGGCGGGAGGTGGATGTGAGTGACAGCCCCTCCGGCCGGAAGGGCGGAGCCCCGGCGCGCGCAGGCGCAATAGCGCAATTACGCTGCCCAGCGTGAAACTCGTCTTTTCGCGAGAACTTGCTTTTCTGGGATGAAAATGATAGTGTTTTCGAAGAGCTGTTGGTTTCAAACTATTTAGAGCTTGGAAGTTACAAGAAAGACACGGATTCGTCCCCCGCTAAGCCAGCACTTTTAAGGGATCGCTGTGGGGCCGGATGGCTTCTCGACTTCCGGGTGATTCCGGGAGATGGGGGACGCCTGGCAGTAAGCGTCTTTGCTTCTGGAAACATCTCGGATGCTTCCTAGGGTCTAGCCAATCTGGTGCCAATACAAGAATGTGTAGCTACTATACAATGGATTTTAAAGAACCCAAATCAATGGAGTGAGGAGGACATGGAGCTCACTATATAATTCTAAACCTCTCTATGTTTGTTTGTTTGTTTGTTTTGGAAATGGAGTCTAGGCTGTCACCCAGGCTTGAGTGTAGTGGCACAATATTGGCTCACTGCAATCTGCACCTCCAGAGTTCAAGCGATTCTCCTGCCTCAGCCTCTTGAGTAGCTGGGATTACAGGCACCTTCCACTACCCCAGCTAAGTTTTGTATTTTTAGTAGAGAAGGGGTTTCACCATGTTGGCCAGGCTGGTCTCGAACTCCTGACCTGAGGTGATTTGCCTGTCTTGGCCTCCCAAAGTACTGGGATTATAGGTGTGAGCCACCGTGCCTGGCCCAAAGTCTGTATTTTGTTTAATATAATTCCCTGTAGGGGAATTGTGCCTCTGGGTTTCCTTCTGTTCTGTAATACTCCTGAGGAGACAAGGGTGATTCCTTTTTATATACTTGATTTAGATGTAAATGTAAACAGAGAAGGAAGTGTTCTTCTGCAAGCACAGGTTCATTTTGGACAGAATTGTCTGATAGACTGAGCATCTGGTTAAAGTAGACATAATTGAAGTATTGTTTCCTGCTTCTCATGTACAAGTAATTTTAAATACTTTGACATTTTTTTTAACTCCACCTCTACTATTTTGCTGTTTTGTGCTTGTCTTTTCTTTGGAGGGTCAGGTATTCATCAACATATTTTTAGTATTTTGACATAACTGGGTAACAGTTGGTACTTATTTCTATTTATTTCCATTTATTTTTAAAATATCTGGTAGAGCATCAAGGCCATTAACATTTAATTTCTATCCTCTAAAATATTACCAATTGCCCCTAAATTTAAGAGAATTCTCTTAAGATGTAATTAACATGTCCAAAATTCACTTTATTCCTGTATGATTGAAAACTCCATGATAGTGATCTTTTTCTATCCTGGTCATTGTGTCCCAGTGCCTAGTACCAGAACATGGGAGATACACAAAAAATATTTGTTAATTGAATGAAAAAATTGATCTATCTAGAAAGATCATAGTCTTAAATCCTATAGTGATTTGTGAGAGAAAATACATTCTTTGTCACTTTAAAATGAGATAGAGCCACTTTACATACATTTCCTCTCTAGTCAAGGACAATGCTAATTGTTATGAGGTGGGGAGGTTTGCTAATAGTGTGTGTGAATGTAGTTTAGCTAGAATGAGATACTGTCGTGGGAGGAAATTAAAATGACCTGAGGTTAGTTTGGTTCTTAATGTTAATTTTAAAAGAGAAAGTATGCCCTTCCAGATAACTGTAAATTATTTCTCTTTGCTTATAATGTGTTGAAGAATGTTAGCTGACTTACCTATACCTCTTTTTCAAAGATAAAGCTTTTTCTACTACAGGCATGAGCCACCTCGCCTGGCCATGTTTTATTTAGCCATATAAAATGTGAAGTAATTATACTTGAAAATAATCCAAATATTACTCAGCATCTTCCCTATGAGTTTTATGATGCTCAAATATTCTTATCATAGAAGTTAACTTGAAATAAATTGTATCCAATTTTTCATTTTCCAAAATTACTATATATTTTAGTTTCTAAACCTTTTTTTACATGGAATATTGCCAGACATAGTTAAAAGGATTAACTAAGGTTTTCTTAATGTATCTAACTCCTTCAGTCCTAAAATATATTTTCTGCTTTTGAGTTTAACACATTTTCTATATGTTGTTTTTAGGAGAGGAAATTATATTGACCCTAAATATTTTTTAAAATTGGGTTTATCAGTAAACATTAAGATAATCTGCTGGGTGCAGTGGCTCATGCCTGTAATCCCAGCACTTTGGGAGGCCAAGGCAGGTGGATTGCTTGAGGTCAGGAATTCAAGACCAGCCGCTCCAACTTGGTGAAACCCCGTCTCTACTAAAAATATTTTTAAAAATTAGCCAGGCTTGGCAGCAGGCACCTGTAATCCCAGCTACTCGGGAGACTGAGGCAGGAGAATTGCTTGAACCTGGGAAGCAAAGGTTGCAGTGAGCCAAGATTGTGCCATTGCACCCCAGCCTGGGCAACACTGGAGCAAAACTCCATCTCAAAAAAAAAAAAAAAAAAGATAATGTGATGTGGCAGACCTCTGTCTATCACTAAGGCCTAAGGCCTCTGCCACATCACATTATCTTAATGTCTACTGATAAATCCCCAGTTTTTTTTTTTTTTTAAATTCCATTAGACATTCAGAAAAACTCTGAATTGATGAATTACACTCCTGTGGTTGTTGCATGGAATATCTGTGATAGTAGTGAACAAAAGATTTGGGGAGAGCAATAAATTCCCCGGTGTGGTAACAAGTCCTCCAAAGGCTTCCTGCCTGTCATTAAGGAGTGTGGCAATCAGGTTACTAATAATTGTGTATGTTTGAAAATTCCATTTAATACACGTTCTAGTTCCTTAAAGGGCTCCAAAGTATAAGCAGCCCTTTAATACACTTTTTAGTTCTTTAAAGGGCTGCTTATACTTTGGAGGTTAAATTATGGGTGATGCGAGAAATCCTGCTTATATTTAGGAGCTAGAAAATTATAGGGGTGAGGAAATAGCAAATACCACAGAAAAGCCAACTTACATATTGCTATATCACCATATATTTTAAAGGTAAAAAGGCTAACTAAAAATATATAGCAGTTCCTGTATCTAGTAGGATGTTTTCTATAGGAAAAACATTAAAATCTAATTTACACTGGTTTAAAGGGTAAGAAAATCTATGATCCCAAAAAACAGGTAGTCCAGCGCAGCTTTGTCCAATAGAAATATAATGTGGGCCACAGATGGTGAGCCATAGATGTGATTTTAGATTATCTGGTAGCCACATTCAAATAGCAAAAAGAAACAGGTGAAACTTCAATAATTTTAATCCAGCATATCTAAGATATAATTGCAACATATTTTTACAATAATGTAAATATATTAATAATACATTTTACATTCTTGTTTTGTACTAAATCTTCAACACCTAGTGTGTGTTTTGCATTTACAGCACATCTCAGTTTAGACTAGCTGCATTTCAAGTTCTCAGGGACCACATGTGGCTGGTTGTTACTCTAGTGGACAGGCAGGTCTAGAAGTTTCAGTGCCTCTAGGCCAGATACAATCATGGTATAGCACAAATTGTTTTTTCTTCCTAATTTTGAAGAATAAGCACTTATTTATACTTTTTCTATTATTGTTTCAGCTCTGCTTTCCTCTCCTTGTAGAATTCCAAAGGCTGCAGTCACAAGATACCAGCCAGCAGCAATAACTGGAGAACTTTCTTCCTTGTCCGTGACAAGAGAGTCACTCTCCCCAAGCAGTCTTTCAATCCAATTGGGCCAACTTAGGCCATGTTCCTATTCTTGGCTCATTAATACTCACTATGGAAATACCCTAAGCCTGTGTTTCTGAAAATGGGGAGAGGTGAAGAGACATTTGGTAATGTCTGGAGATATTTATGGTTGTCACAACTGTGGGGGGTGGGTCCTACTGGTATCTAGTACATAGAGGCCAGGGATACTGCTGAACATTCTACAAGGCACAGAACAGCTCCCCACCACAAAGAATTATATGGCTCAAAATAGTACCAAGGTTGAGAAACCTTGCTTATTATTTTAAGTCTGTATTCCTAACTAAGCACTGTCAAGAGGATGAGATTATCATTATTAGATTAAATTTATCAGAACCTACTACAGCTCTGAATAGGTTCTGCTTCCCTAGGTACATGAAGGGTGAAAACCTAAACTAAAAGGAAGTGTTACAAGAGGAAAAAGGGCATGAACAACCAATAGTATCCATAAATGAGCTGATTATTTTTGTAATTATAAAAGTATATATCTATTTTTAAAGTATGGATAAGCATCGAATGTAAATTCTTTATATCAGTAGTTACATAATGCAGTTACTCAATTTTACATTTTTATCAGTATTTTCCACCTTTTATAGTGAAATTTTCTCCTTTAATATATTGAATTTACAGTGAATTTTTTATAATAATTTTTTACAGTGGATAATTTCTTGAGTAGCCATTTTCATGAAAAATAAGTTTCAATAGTGTGTCATCTTGAAAAGAAAACATCAAGAGGGAAAAATTTGTAAGAATTCTTAGTCGAATTTTAATGAATTTTAGTATGGGTGCGGTGGCTCACGCCTGTCATCCCAGCACTTTGGGAGGCCGAGGCGGACGAATTACCTGAGGTCAGGAGTTCGAGACCATCCTGGCCAACATGGCAAAACCCCGTTTCTACTAAAAATACAAAAATTAGTCGAGCGTCGTGGCGTGTAGCTGTAGTCCTAGCTACTCGGGAGCCTGAGGCAGGAGAATTGTTTGAACCCTTGAGGCGGAGGTTGCAGTGAGCCGTAATCACGCCACTGCACTCTAGCCTGGGTGACAAAGCAAGACTCTGTCTCAAAAAAAAAAAAAAGAATTTTAATAAAACGTTTGCATTAAATTTTGTGAAATGATGATTTTGTTAATATTTTATCAAAAATAATGATTTGCACCCTTCTTAGTAAAGCAGCTGGTATTTTAAAATATGTCTTGAGAAAAAAGCCGATACAGTCTCTTGTGAGGACCTTGAAAACTAACCTGCTAGGGATATCATACTGGGCCTCTGGGTGCCGCTGTCCGCCAATCCGTGGCTGGAGGGAAACAAAGCAATCCACTGACGCAGCAGTCCCCGCAGGCTTTTTAGAAACACTATAGGAGAGGACTCTGCCTGCTGTCTCTCTCGCAATCTGCTCTAAATATCTCGGTCAGGAATCTCACGATGTCTAGTGACCCAGAGTGAGGAGCTGCCTTTTATTCCTGAGCATCGCAGGGAGCAGGAAGCAGGGAGCAACGGTAGAGAGAGGTATTCGGATCTGAGTACCAGCAAGAAGAAGAAACAGAGGAAGAAGTCCCCCATAAGGAAGGTGTGAGGAGTGCAGGAATCGCTGTTTCCCTGCCTGAGGTCTTTATTCTACGTAGCTGATATGCTGTAAGATTCTGGAGGAGAAGGCTAGGGGTTGAAAGGTTGGTAATCTCTCAGAAGATCTGTGTCTCGGTGACGGGAAAAACTACGGGTAAGTGCTGAGAAGCCTCTCTTTACATACAGCTGGAGAATGAGCCAGAGAGGAGCTTGAGAATGACAGGATAGATCTAGCAGTTATGCCCAAGGAAGACCCTCGGCCATTTGAATTTGAAGGTACTGAAAAATCATATAAATGTTTTTCATACAAACGTATGCATCTTGGATATAAATAAAATGGCTTTTAGCACACGTTTTGGAAATTCTGGAAAACATCTTAATAAGAGGAACTTGTACTCTTAAGCCCGCAGTAGATTTTGAACACTGGCAGTAACTCTGTACAAATATATCAGATTAATTTTAATAGCCATCTCCTCTTCCCCTAGAAGTAAAGGAGAGTACTACAGCAGTATGTACTCTGAATTGCTGCTATTGAAGAATCCCTGAGCCTGTGCAGTGGGGCACTCCTGTGGTCCCTGTTACTCAGGAGGCTGAGGCAGGAGGATTGCTTGATGCCAGCTAGAGGCTGCAGTGCGCTATGAGCACAACTGTGAATAGCCACTGCATTCCAGCCTCAGTAACATAGCCAGACCCCATCTCTTAGAAAAGAAAAGAGAAAAGAAAAAAAAAGAAACCCTGAACTAGAGGAGCAGAGCTGCCACCATTTAGTGATGGGGAGGGGGCAGAACAGCTCAGGGCAAGACACAGGCCTTGGATGCCAATGCCAGTCATCAGATATTGAGCAATGTGTAAGTGGGGTTAGCCTGCAGGAGAACATGCCCACCACCTCCTCCTCTTCATTCTTCAGGTGATCCCCAATGACCTAGACAATATCTTCAATATAGAGTTCTCCTGATCTTTCTACACAATTTTACAGGGCATACAGAATATATTTCCTGTCCAATAATGACAGAAATACTTGATTCTGAAGAGTAACAGTTACAGCATGGAATATAAGACTGGAGGCAGTTTGAGGGCCCACTTCAGAGTCCTGGTTGAAATGAATGCAGTCAGTGCAGGTAACTTTCAGTTCAGCGTCTAGTCCTATCAGAGGTAAGAACTGTGGTTGCCCTAACCAAAACAATAGGACTAAGAGACCTTAAATGAAAGATGAAAATTATTATAGAGAGAAATGATCATACTGACAAACAATTCACCTCCAAGAATTATGATGTAATTCTTTGTCAGCTACTCACAGATGGAATTCTAAACTGGTAGCAGACCCTGAAGAACAATGTCACCATCAGAACCACCAACAAGGACAAACTGTCCCTCTCCTGCATCACCCTGCATATCATCGGCATCCACAAAAATGCTCATTCTTCAACAAGCCTCCTGTTTCTTTTGGGTGACTGGGAACACTACCCAGAACCTCCATCACATACTTTAGCACTTCCCACCCTGACTTAGGGTCCCATATGCCTCCTGTTTCTTCTTGACCAGTGACCTGCCACTGTGGGCACTGTCATTCTGCATGTCAGTGAGTGCAAAGTGCTGTGGTGTTCATGCAGACTATCTTTGAGCTGACTCTGCGGGCCAGTGACCAGGGTTCAACTTGCTCAGTGTCATCCTGAACTTGCATGTGATGGTGGATGACCATTGTGAAAATGCAAGGACACTACGCCAGGAGTTACAGCCAGGTGGGGCCCTCTTTGATGCTGCACCACTCACAATGCAACCGAGCTATCCCATCACCAAAGTGGACACCAGCTGGGGCACAAAGGCTGACTGTCCGTGCTTCAGGTCAGCTAATGTGGCTCTTCAAACTAGGGATGTGCACAAGCTAGATGCGTGCTGTGTCACTGTGGGTAACAGAGATGCAACCTGCCAAGGTTTGTTGGTCACCATGCTCAATGGTGAATCATCACGCTGTACCTGGTTGCTGCTCACAGTTTGCAGGAGTTGCTGCCAGACCTCAGCAATCACCCAGCACCCAACAGCAGGCAACAGACAGCACCCAACAGCTGTAGTTTAACCTGGGATGGCCATTGCCTTGATCTCCATGCTATTTCTCCTCAGTGTGACTCTGGCCATCTTTCTGAACCTGCAATGCCCTCTATAGCCCCATTGCCTGGGGCTGCTTTCAGCCAGATCTCTGGTCCAAGCCTGGATATGGAGTTGTCTCCAACTTAAAGGAAGGAAATTTGCCGTGTTCCTACAACGTATGTGTGGCTTTAGATATTTTTAAAATCTTAATGTCTTTAAATTAACTCAAGAAACAGCTTTCAACCAGATATTCTCTGCAGTGCCAGCTATGAAGCTTTGTTTTGTTTTGTTTTTGTTTTTGTAGAAACGGGGTTCACTATGTTGATCAAGCTGGTCTCAAACTCCTGGCCTCAAGTGATCTGCCCACCTTGGCCTCCTAAAGTACTGGGATTGCAGGCATGAGCCACTGTGCCTGGCCAGCAATGAAGCTTTAAATGTTACATTTGATTCAAATGTATTTGTGTAATATTTTAACATTTTTATTTTATACTTATCATCCTTTTATAAATCACTCCTGCGTGTTTTTGGTTGCTGAGAGTAGGGAGCCCTACAGGTTTACTTGCTAGTTCTTATGTATATTTTAATTTGCCTCATTAGCTCACAGTTTCTTTGGGGAAAAGTTTGTGCCTATTAATGTGTATTCTGGAAAGTTACGTTCTCTGTTAAAGAGTTCCTTCCTTGCAGTATCAAAGGTGATTTATTGCATCTTTAAATTTCTACTCTTTGGCTCCATATACTTGTCTTTGAGAAGCTGAGAAACTGTAGATTTAGTTATATAAGAACTAAAATTCTCTTTCCAAAAACTATTCTTGAGACCTTTCGTTGTTTTCTTTCTTTCCTTATTTTTAACTTTTCTCAGTCATGGTGTCATTGGGTTGGCTCGCTCAATTTGTTCCTGAAGATATCAGACTCTGGAGTGCGGATAGCATGCTTCTCTAACTTTGGGGTAAAGATAAGTAAGTCACTCTAAGCCTGAGACATTTTAATTAGTAACCCTTTGCTAATACTGCAGTGATTAAAAGAAAGAAGGCCACATCCTCATCTTAACTGGTTAAAAAGTACTGTTAGGAGAAAACCAACTTCTCTTGGAGAAAATATTAAGCACAATTACAGGGGAATACATATTATAAGAGACAATCTAAAAATAAAGATGAGACCATTTTTCTTTTCAGCTGTGAAGAATAATATCATAGACTGACTCTGAAATTTGAAATCTAAATTATATATTCATGTGACTTTTCAATGAAATTCCAAGAGCCCAGTTTTATTTTTTTCCAAAATGTATTACCTTTGGGTGAATCTTAAGAATTTTTTAAAACCTACATAATGCAAAGACACTTCAAAAAAAGAAGAGGAAAAATAAGGATATGGTTAAACCATGCCCTTCAAAATCCCAAGGTTTCTGATAAATATTCAAATCATAATGGGAAGGAAATGGGATGGTACAATTTTTTTAAAGTCTAGCTTATATTCTAAAAGATTATCTTTCCCTCCAAGACTTTTCATCCTCTAGTCAAAGGAGAGCTGCTCTATGTGGCCTGGGAAATTATCAAGTGGTCAAGCTTTACTACAGAAAAAGTGGAGAGATGATTTTGTCCTCATTGTGATGTTAGGTTTTTACTATCATTCCCTGAATAGCAAACAAGGAAAGCAGATAGCATGAAAATACTAAGATTCTCCTGTATATTTCAATTTGGTGACATTTAGGCACATTTAAGGAAGTGAACATATAGTTTCTCCTTTTCATACATATATTGTAGAATGATTTCCTTGACAATAGACTAAAACTTAAGAAAATATTAAGTTAATGAGAAAGTTTTAAGTATTTTCTAGGAATGCAGTAACTGGTTAGGACTCTGGGTGCCGCTGTTCACTAATCTGGTAGATACAGGCAGTACACACACTTCAGGAGGAGGGGGGGAAAAAAAAAAGCTCTTGTGCCTCTTAGAACCTCCATAACCGCCAGATTGAAAACAGACTGTCCAAGACTGCCTAAATCCTACTTCTGGATGACTCTCCACTCAGAATTCTCCGGAAAATTGGGTTAATTTCAGCTCAGAAAAGCAGGAACGATACCCTTGGTACTGGACTGGAAGAAAACTACGAAGTGAGAGAGCCATGAAGATTCAGAAAAAGCTGACCGGCTGCAGCAGGCTGATGCTTCTGTGTCTTTCTCTGGAGCTGCTGTTGGAAGCTGGGGCTGGGAATATTCACTACTCAGTGCCGGAAGAGACAGACAAAGGTTCCTTCGTGGGCAACATTGCCAAGGACCTAGGGCTACAACCCCAGGAGCTGGCAGATCGCGGAGTCCGCATCGTCTCCAGAGGTAGGATGCCGCTTTTCGCTCTGAATCCTAGAAGTGGCAGCTTGATCACCGCGGGCAGGATAGACCGGGAAGAGCTCTGCGCTCAGCGCATGCCATGTCTCGTGAGTTTTAATATCCTTGTTGAGGATAAAATGAAGCTTTTCCCTGTTGAAGTAGAAATAATTGATATTAATGACAACACTCCCCAATTTCAGTTAGAGGAACTGGAGTTTAAAATGAATGAAATAACCACTCCAGGTACCAGAATCTCATTGCCATTTGGACAAGACCTTGATGTGGGTGTGAACTCACTCCAGAGCTACCAACTCAGTTCTAACCCTCATTTCTCCCTGGATGTGCAACAGGGAGCCGATGGGCCCCAACATCCAGAGATGGTGCTGCGGAGTCCCCTAGACAGAGAAGAAGAAGCTGTCCACCACCTCATCCTCACAGCTTCTGATGGGGGTGACCCAGTCCGTTCAGGGACCCTCAGAATTTACATTCAGGTGGTGGATGCAAATGACAATCCTCCAGCATTTACTCAGGCACAATACCATATGAATGTCCCTGAAAACGTGCCACTGGGCACTCGACTGCTCATGGTAAATGCCACCGACCCTGATGAGGGATCTAATGGGAAAGTAACATACTCCTTTCACAATGTAGACCACAGAGTGGCCCAAATATTTCATTTAGATTCTTACACAGGAGAAATATCAAATAAAGAACCACTAGATTTCGAAGAATACAAAATTTATTCAATGGAAGTTCAAGCCCAGGATGGTGCGGGGCTCATGACTAGAGCTAAGGTACTGATCAAAGTTTTAGATGTAAATGACAATGCCCCAGAAGTGACCATCACCTCTGTCACCACTGCAGTTCCAGAAAACTTTCCTCCTGGGACCATAATTGCTCTTATCAGTGTGCATGACCAGGACTCAGGAGACAATGGCTACACCACATGTTTCATTCCTGGAAATTTACCCTTTAAATTGGAAAAGTTAGTTGATAATTATTACCGTTTAGTGACTGAAAGAACACTGGACAGAGAACTTATCTCTGGGTACAACATCACAGTAACAGCAACAGACCAAGGAACTCCAGCTCTATCTACTGAAACTCACATTTCACTGCTAGTGACAGATATCAATGACAACTCCCCAGTCTTCCATCAGGACTCCTACTCTGCCTACATTCCCGAAAATAACCCCAGAGGAGCCTCCATCTTCTCTGTGAGGGCCCACGACTCGGACAGCAATGAGAATGCACAAATCGCTTACTCCCTAATAGAGGACACCATCCAGGGAGCACCCCTATCTGCCTACGTCTCCATCAACTCCGACACTGGGGTCCTGTATGCGTTGCGATCCTTCGACTACGAGCAGTTCCGGGACTTGCAACTGAAAGTGATGGCGCAGGACAGTGGGGACCCGCCCCTCAGCAGCAACGTGTCGCTGAACCTGTTCGTGCTGGACCAGAACGACAATGCGCCTGAGATCCTGTACCCCGCCCTCCCCACAGATGGTTCCACAGGAGTGGAGCTAGCGCCCCGCTCCGCAGAGCCCGGCTACCTGGTGACCAAGGTGGTGGCAGTGGACAGAGACTCGGGCCAGAACGCTTGGCTATCCTACCGCCTGCTCAAGGCCAGCGAACCGGGACTCTTCGCGGTGGGGCTGCACACGGGCGAGGTGCGCACGGCGCGAGCCCTGCTGGACAGAGACGCGCTCAAGCAGAGCCTCGTGGTGGCCGTCCAGGACCACGGCCAGCCCCCTCTCTCCGCCACTGTCACGCTTACCGTGGCCGTGGCAGACAGGATCCCCGACATCCTGGCCGACCTGGGCAGCCTCGAGCCCTCCGCCAAACCCAACGATTCGGACCTCACTCTGTACCTGGTGGTGGCGGTGGCCGCGGTCTCCTGCGTCTTCCTGGCCTTTGTCATCGTGCTGCTGGCGCTCAGGCTTCGGCGCTGGCACAAGTCACGTCTGCTGCAGGCTTCGGGAGGCGGCTTAGTGCCCGGCTCGCACTTTGTGGGCGTGGACGGGGTTCGGGCTTTCCTGCAGACCTATTCCCACGAGGTCTCCCTCACTGCGGACTCGCGGAAGAGCCACCTGATTTTCCCCCAGCCCAACTATGCGGACACGCTCATCAGCCAGGAGAGCTGTGAGAAAAAGGATTTTCTATCAGCACCCCAGTCTTTACTTGAAGACAAAAAGGAACCGTTTTCTCAGGTAAACTTTTGTAATGAATGTATAAGCTATCTAGAGAAAAATAATTCTTGATTTAACTTACTTGCATTCACTCTTTACTACAGATAGTTCTTCTAACCCATGTATCTTTATGGCTTTTTATTACAAGTCCTGGAAAATCACGATTAAGTGAGTCTACACGTTCATATGCAGGTATATTTATAATTGTTCTTGCATTGAAAAGGAGACTGTGATCATAATGTAGGTGGTTGGGTTGAAGGTATGTGTGAGATGCCATCTCTGTCTGGAAGGAGCACTGCATTAGAAACAGGGTGATTTAGCTTCTAACATTTTCTTACTTGCCTCTGGGTTAAAGGGTTTGATTAGAAAAGGCTCACCAATATTTAAATGTCTAATACTATTTTCAAATTTTCTTGTTATAAATACCTGCTAATTTACCCCGGAATTTAATGTAGACGTCATCTGTCAGTACACTGTGATATTTTATTTAGGGACATTTGAAGAGGTGAAGATTGTCTAAAGTAGTATTTTTAATTGTGTTCATATAAGATTATAGGGATCTATATAAACTGCAATTTTAAATTATTGTTGAATATTTTAGCCCTTTATTCTATCTTTATTATCAGATTTTTTTAAGTTTTGAGACAGGGTCTTGCTGGAGTGCAGTGGCGTGATCATGGCTCACTGCAGCCACTACCTCCTGGGCTTAAGTGATCCTCCCACCTCAGCCTCCCAAAGTGCTGATATTACAGGTGTGAGCAGTGGTGCCTGTACTGAAGAATACATCTATTTAAGTAATTTATGAAGTAACAAAGTGAACAACAGAAAATTTATCGTGCAACTTGAGAAACAGCTTTGAAGCCTCCTGACTTATTACATTATACCTGTAATGAAATCAACTAACAAAAATCAAGTATACATCCTACTTTAATGTGTGTTAACTTTTCAGAAGGAAAAAAAAGCATGGTCGGGGAGTAAGTCCATGCTTTTTTATATTTACTCTGATCCAATAAAATACAGAGATACATAAAATATAAGAGGAAAGCAAAAGCAAAGTGGTTAGCTGGTCTGAAGCCATGTGAGTTATAGTCTTGGACTTAAAAGAAGAAATTGAAGGTTAGGAAACTGCCTCCAACAATGTAATAGGGACAGAAGTGCTTCAGACTAGATAAATGACCTGGACCAGGCTTACTGCCTGAATCCAAAACAAGCAATGAGGCCCTTCAGCTGGTTAAAAAGGAACAGAAAGATGCATGAACATGCTGCCTAGCTGGGCGCAGTGGCTCACGTCTGTATTGCCAACAATTTGAGAGGCTGAGGCGGAAAGATCCCTGGAGCCCTGGAGTTCAAGACCAGCCAGACACGGTGGCCTGCAACTGTAGTCCCAGCTACGCGGGGCGGGGCGAGGCGGGGCGAGGCGGGGCGGGGCGGGCCGGCGCAGGTGCTGATGTGGCGGGATCGCTTGAGCCCAGGAAGTCAAGGCTTCAGCGAACCGCGATGGCGCCACTGCACTCCAGCCTGGGCAACAGAGCCACACCATGTTAAATAAGTAAATAAATAAATAAATAAAAATAGAAGCTGCCGCCCAATTCGTGTGGTTATAGCTTTCTTGGTAAGCTGTGTAGACCAAGAGAAAGAGACAGACACGGATGCTGGATAGAGACAGCGAACACCAAGTATCTCTCATGTGAGCTGTGGTATCCAGAATATCACTGCTGGGTATCACTAAAGCGTCATTAAGAGACCCAGTTATGGCCTGGGACCTGAGGTCAGATAGAAATTATTTATTTCAAAACCATTATAAATGAGCACTGAACCCAGGAGGGAAGGAGACAGGGACATAGTGTAGAAAAGAAAAACAAACTAAAACTGAAAATAAACAGAGCTCTTCCACTAAAAATAAATATACAAACCAAAATTTCAAAACACACATGTCTCGTAGAATTTATTGTTGCTAGTAAGAAGCTTTCAACAAACTCTTATCTTTTAAGGTAATCTCTGTTTTTTCTCTGATAACCATTGAAGACTTTCTCTCATTCTTGCTGTGTGTCTGTTGCATTTTTATTTTTATTTTTTGCTTGGTACCAAGAGTATACTCTCAATTGATAGCTAAGTTATCTCAGTTCTGGACTTTCTCAGCTCTTATAATCATAACTTTTTTCTGTGTATATACAAGTGAGCTACATTTACCTATTAAAGGACAAATATTACAAAATTAGTTGATTTTTAAAATCCATATTCTAATAATACATATACTTAAAAATACACCTAAACAGTAAAACTATGTATGTATGCACACAGAAAAAGAAAGCAGTCATGTTAATATTAATATAACAACAAAGTTGTATTTAAGGTAACAAACACAAAATGTGATTTTAAAAAATGAACTGATTATAGTTGTAAAAAGAACAGATGATCAAAAGAATATAAAAATATGAGCTTCTATTACCAAAAAATGTAGCTTAGAAAATACCAGAATATTTTAACATAATTCCATAAGAAATAATAGACCCTACAGGGAGAAAGTTCGTTAATATACAGAAGATCTAAACAACATAATTTATAAGGTTGATCTATTAGGATTCTAATAGATCTGTTCTACACACAACAAATATGGAATAGTCATCCTTGAACAGATAGACAATCTACAAGTTTATTATCTAGTCATTACAAAAAAGGGTTCAGCGAATTCCAAAGTACCAATAATATACTTGCCTTACAACACATACTTAAATCAGAAAGCAAACATTTAAAAATAGAAAAGGGGGAAAAAGTTTGGATATTTACATCCACACCCTTAAATAACCCTTGGATTTCAAAAATCACAATGACAATGACAACTACTCAGAAGAGAAGGATTTAAATATTATTTATTAAAAATTGTGAGATGCAGCTAAAACTAATTAGGAGTAAGTTTATAGACAAATGCAATAATTTTTTTTAAAAAACAAACAAAATTCCTTTTTTTTTTTTTTTGTTGAGACGGAGTCTCGCTCTGTCGCCCAGGCTGGAGTGCAGTGGCCGGATCTCAGCTCACTGCAAGCTCCACCTCCCAGGGTCACGCCATTCTCCTGCCTCAGCCTCCCAAGTAACTGGGACTACAGGCGCCTGCCACCTCACCCGGCTAGTTTTTTGTGTTTTTTTAGTAGAGACAGGGTTTCACTGTGTTAGCCAGGATGGTCTCAATCTCCTGACCTCGTGATCCGCCCGTCTCAGCCTCCCAAAGTGCTGGGATTACAGGCTTGAGCCACCCCGCCCGGCCAAAATTCTTTAAAATACATGAATTTAGCTTGCCATTTAAGAAGATAAAAAACACATAATGAGTATATACTAAAATAAAATGATGTAAAAAATAACAAAGAGATACATTTTTGAAATGCAACCATGGAAGAATTCTGAGGATAAAGTAACAGAAGCAGACAAAAAATGTTATAGTAAAACCAGTGGGGAGAAAATGAAAATTCTGTCAAGTCTAATGTTAGGACTCATTTAACAGAGCCAGGCACAATGGCATATCTAGAATCCCAGCTATTGAGTAGGCTGAGGCAGTAGGATTGCTTGAGCCCAGGAGTTTGAATCCAGCCTGGGCAGTATAACAAGACCCAACCTCTATAAAACAAAACAAACACAAACACAAAAATAAAAATTAAAAAACCAAAGCAAGATATACCATAGTAACTCTACAAGAAAACATGGTTGGTATCAATTATTTCCAATACATTTTTCTTCAGTCTTCTAAGAGGAATGGATGAAAGTAAAAATGAGAAAATTTCAACAAGGAAGGAGTCAAAAGGCAAACAGACTAAAGGGTCACCAGAAATGGGCAATTCCACTTATACCACTTACAAAAATTAATTCAAAATGGATCAAAGAAGCAATATTCAGAAGCAATAAAACCCTTTTAGCTATTACGTTTAAGAACTAAAACTATGCAACTGTCAGAAGAAAACAGGAGGAAACCTTCATAACATTGATTTTGGCAATGATTTCTTGGATATGACACCAAAAGCACAAGCAACAAAAGAAAAAATAAAGGTATACTGGACTTTATCACAATTAAAAACTATGTGCAGCAAAGAACAATATCAATAGAGTGAAAAGGCAGCCCACAGAATGACAGAAAATGTTTCCAAATCATATATCTAAGAATGGATATCCAGAATAAAGAACTCCCACAATTCAACAACAAAACCTCCCAAACAATTGGATGTTAAAATGAGCAAAGGACTTGAATAGACATTTCTCCAAAGATGATATACAAATGGCCAAAACCATATGAAAAGATGTTCAACATCACTAGTCATATGTTCAACATCACTAGTCATTAGGGAAATGCAAATCAAAACCGTAATGAGATACTACTTCACATTCGTTAGAATTGCTGTCATAAAAGAAAAGAAAATAAGTGTTAACAAGAATATGGATAAATTGGAATTCTTGTGCATTGCTGGTGAATATAAAATGATACAACTGCTGTGGAAAATGGTATGGTGATTCCTCAAAAATTTAAACATAGGATTACCATATAATCCAGCAATTCCACTCTGGTTATTACCCAAAAGAAGTGAAAGTAGGGACTTCAACAGATATTTGTACACCTATGTTTATGGCAGCATTAGTCACAATAGTTGAAAAGTGGAAGTAACCCAAGTGTCCATTGACAGATGAATGGGTAAACAAAAAGTGGTTCACAAATGCAATGGACTATTATTCAGCCTTAAAAAGGAAGGGAATTCTGTTACATGCTACAATATGGACGAACTTCAAAGACATGTTGTCAAGTGAAATAAACCTGTCAAAAAATGACAAATACTGTACAATTCCTCATATATGAAGTTCCTAGATTAGTCAAACTCATAGAGCAAAAGGTAGAATGGTAGCTGCCAGGGACTGGGTGAAAGGCAATGGGGAGTTACTATTTAATAAGTACAGAGTTTCAGTTGGGGAGGATGAAAAAGCTCTGGAGGTGGATAGTGGTAATGATCACACCAGAATGTAATTTGAATGTACTTAATGTCACAGAATTGTATGCTTGACAATGGTCAAAATGATAAAGATAAAACAGGAGTAAGAAGACATCCACTGCATTGTATTTTACACCCTTGGAAAATGAATATCAGAAAAAGAACTTGACAACCTCAAACAATTTTAAGTGACTGATTCCAAAATCCCCTTCCAACTCTAGCTTTATCAAATAGATCTGCTTTCCATTTCTGTAATGTTCCATGCTGTCTCTCACCTTCAAGCATTTATTCTGAGGTTCTAGAACAATTCTTCAGCCTTTTTCTTGATTCAATCCTACTTTTTAGGATTCAGCTTCAATCATGCCCTCAAAAAGACTCTTCTGACTCCAAATCTAGACTGGATACCCTTCCCAGGTATTTCTCCATCACCCAGTGTTTCTTACCTCATATCATGGCAATTACACTCTCTTTACTTTATTCTATTACACTCTCATTACTCTATTACACTCTCTTTACTTTCTTATGTCCTCCTCCAACCTTCATGCTTGAGACCAGGGCCTATGTTTATCATGTTTACCATTTCTATCTCCAGCCCCAGTCATGCAAAGTGGGAGGCACATGTACCCAACTAAGTGTCTGATGATTCAATAATTTAAAGGCAGATTTTGAAGGTAAATGCTAAGCCATCAACCACAAAAGTTCAAAATATATAACCTTAGAAGAAAATGTAGCTAACGTTTCTTAATTGATCTTACTGCTTCTGATTATACAATAAGAGATGGAAGATGTTTGTAGCAAGAGCAGTGGTGGCATTGATTAATGCCTTGAGCAGTCAATAATACTTTCCTAGCAACTATTATCAAGGTCATGTTCATTTATACCAGTCTTATTAATCCTGATAAAAAAGATTCCTGTTTTGAAAGATCTAATTCTACGGTATCTTAGAGCTGTAAGATTCTTTAAAGCACCTTGAAAGTCAACAAAGGCAAACAAAGAAGAAGTAACTTACGTTTTCCCGAGCAGGTGCAGAAATTATTTAGGCCTCTGAGCGTCGCTGTTGACCACCTAAGGAGTAAAAAGCAGCAAAGCCAACCAATCCAGCAGCACGCCTCCCGCAGCACAACAGGCTGGAGGTTTGGCCCTAAAGCTTCAGGGCACCAAAGAAATTCAGTCGAACAGCCCACCATTTGTCTCCATAGTGACCTGGGTCCTGTGAATGCTGGTCATCTCACAGCCTGAGGAATAAAGATTGGAATCCGCACTGAATGCTGGAAGTTGACTCGGAGAAAACTGCGACAGGAAGGAAATGGCGGCTCTGCAAAAGTTGCCACACTGCAGAAAACTGGTCCTGCTGTGCTTCCTTTTGGCGACCCTGTGGGAGGCCAGGGCTGGGCAGATTCGCTATTCTGTGCCAGAAGAGATCGACAGAGGCTCCTTCGTAGGCAACATCGCCAAGGACTTGGGTTTGGAGCCCCTGGCACTGGCAGAGCGGGGAGTCCGCATCGTCTCCAGAGGTAGGACCCAGCTCTTTGCTCTGAACCCGCGAAGCGGCAGCTTGGTCACTGCGAGCAGGATAGACCGGGAGGAGCTCTGCGCTCAGAGCGCACCGTGTCTGTTGAATTTTAACATCCTGCTGGAGGACACATTGACTATTTATTCAGTAGAGGTGGAAATAACAGATATTAACGATAATGCCCCTCGCTTTGGAGTAGAGGAACTGGAGCTAAAAATCAGTGAAACCACTACGCCAGGATTCCGGATTCCTCTTAAGAATGCGCATGATGCGGACGTAGGTGAGAACGCCCTTCAGAAGTATGCACTCAACCTAAATGATCACTTCTCCCTGGACGTGCGAAGCGGAGTTGATGGGAACAAGTACCCAGAACTGGTGCTGGAGCGCGCTCTGGACCGCGAGGAAGAGGCTGTTCACCACCTCGTTCTCGTGGCTTCTGATGGGGGTGACCCAGTGCTATCTGGCACCTCCCGCATCTGCATGAAGGTCCTGGATGTGAACGACAACGCGCCTGTTTTTACACAGCCCGAGTACCGCATAAGCGTTCCCGAGAATACGCCCGTGGACACCCGGATACTCACGGTGACCGCCACTGACGCAGATGAGGGCTACAACGCTCAAGTGGCTTATTTTCTAGAGAAAAGCCCTGGAGAAACCTCAGAGGTATTTGAGCTTAAGTCAACATCTGGAGATCTGACAATCATAAAAGATCTAGATTATGAGGATGCTACATTCCATGAAATTGATATTGAAGCTCAGGACGGTCCGGGCCTTCTAACCAGAACGAAGGTTATCATTACGGTTCTGGACGTGAATGACAATGCCCCAGAATTTTACATAACATCTGCTACTAGCTCAGTTTCTGAAGACTCTCCTCCAGGAACCGTAATTGGGCTTTTTAATGTACATGATAGAGACTCTGGGCAGAATGCATTCATCACCTGTTCACTCCCTGAGAATCTTCCCTTTAAGTTAGAAAAGTCAGTGGACAATTACTACCGACTGGTTACAACCAGAGCCCTTGACAGGGAACAGTTTTCCTTTTACAACATCACTCTAACCGCTAAAGATGGAGGGAACCCCTCCCTGTCCACGGATGCTCACGTTTTGCTGCAGGTGGCAGACATCAACGACAACGCACCCGCCTTCTCCCGCACATCCTACTCCGCCTACATTCCTGAAAACAACCCCAGAGGAGCCTCTGTCTTCTCAGTGACGGCCCATGACCCCGACAGCAACGACAATGCTCATGTAACTTACTCTTTCGCGGAGGACACTGTTCAGGGGGCACCCTTATCCTCTTACATCTCTATCAACTCTGACACTGGAGTCCTCTATGCACTGCGCTCCTTTGATTACGAGCAGTTTCGAGACTTGCAACTGTGGGTGATGGCGCGGGACAGCGGGAACCCTCCACTCAGTAGCAATGTATCAGTAAGCCTGTTCGTGCTGGACCAGAACGACAACGCGCCCGAGATCCTGTACCCCGCCATCCCCACAGATGGTTCCACCGGCGTGGAGCTGGCGCCCCGCTCCGCAGAGCCCGGCTACCTGGTGACCAAGGTGGTGGCGGTGGACAGAGACTCGGGCCAGAACGCCTGGCTGTCTTACCACCTGCTCAAGGCCAGCGAGCCAGGACTGGTGCGCACGGCGCGAGCCCTGCTGGACAGAGACGCGCTCAAGCAGAGCCTCGTGGTGGCCGTCCAGGACCACGGCCAGCCCCCTCTCTCCACCACTGTCACGCTCACCGTGGCCGTGGCAGACAGGATCCCCGACATCCTGGCCGATCTGGGCAGCCTCGAGCCCTCCGCCAAACCCAACGATTCGGACCTCACTCTGTACCTGGTGGTGGCGGTGGCTGCGGTCTCCTGCGTCTTCCTGGCCTTTGTCATCGTGCTGCTGGCGCTCAGGCTAAGGCGCTGGCACAAGTCACGTCTGCTGCAGGCTTCAGGAGGCAGCTTGACAGGCATGCCCAGCTCGCACTTTGTGGGCGTGAATGGGGTGCGGGCTTTCCTGCAGACCTATTCCCACGAGGTCTCTCTCACTGCGGACTCGCGGAAGAGTCACCTGATCTTCCCCCAGCCCAACTACGCTGACACGCTCATCAGCCAGGAGAGCTGTGAGAAAAAGGATTTTTTATCAGCACCTCAATCTCTACTCGAAGATGAAAGGGAAGAAACGTCTTCTCAGGTAATCTATCTTTTCACAACATCCGTACAAGCTAGTTTGCTGAAGTAATTCACTTACTTGTTTACTATATCTATTTTGTTCCCCATATTTCCTTGAGGGCAGAGTCAAGTTGTAGGAAGTGAGTCTTGGTGAATTATTTCTTGGTAGGTTTTAGTGTTCACAGGCTATAAGACGAAGAAGAGACACGAGAATCGTTGTGCAATGAATGTAAACCAGGAGTTAATAGATGATTATCCAAAGAGCACTGCATTGAGTAACTAGGGTATCTGGTCTCTTACACTTTCTTCTTCACTCCTGGGCAAATCATCTCATCCACCCGGATCAACAATTTTTTCTTTGTTAAAAATATAAAGATTGGAGTTTATGTTTGCTCAAGTCCTTTCTTCTTTTAAAATATGACTTTTACTTTATATTTGAATCTGTATATGAACAGTGAAACACCTTAGTCGGCTAATTCTTTCTCATTCAGTCTTAATATATTTCTCTCGGTTTGACAGCAAAATTGTTTTCCTTAACTTGCATGCCCTTCCCTGTTAAAAATATGGAAATTTAGAAATATACATTCCTTACAGTGTTTCCGGAAGTTATGTCATATTATTTTGGCTTAGTTTTAAAAATCACATTAGTCTCTAAGCTATGTGCTTCTTGAAGAAGTGACTGACTTATCATCTGCTCTATAATAAAGTTGTAGAGTAGTAATAAACAGGTTTCTCCTTTTTTTATCTTTCTCATATGTGGGAACCATATTGCCTTTTAATCTTTAAAATAATATATATCCTCAATATAGTTTTGCTTAAAGAAAAGATACAAAAGATTCATATCATACAATTGTCCAGAACCATCTTTTGTATACATCTCTCTTCTCAAGGTTTCTACTCACAATAGCTGCTAGAAATGTTCCCAATCCCTCACCCAATCCCAATGCCCCTCTGAACAATTTTCTTTTCCCGTTCCTCTTCCTATGTTGGCTTTTAGTATGTTGGTTATGTATTTAATAACAGAGAACAATAAACACACTAATGTTCTATGTAAATGGCATAATTTTTAATTTTTATTTGGAAATTATCATGTACCAATTGAGCCTTTTATTGAATGACACCGTATCTCTCAAAGTGCCGTGATTCTTTATGTTGCATCTTTTCTGAGACAATGTGTTGTTTTGGTTACTATTACATAATTCTCTATGAGTAAAATTGGAACTCACTGTGGCATAATATGTCACAATATCTTTACTTGTAAGTGAATAATAAAGTATAAACAGGATAATTAAAGCAGTTATTTTTAGTGTGTGTAGTAACTCCACAAGAATAAATGCCTTATGCATAGATATGTCATGCATCATGATTGAAATGACAAATATATGTGTTTATATTTCTGTGCTTGGAAACTTATAGAGAAAGAGATTCTGGAACATAAAAGCTTATTTCTACTGGTTTTAGCAGTGGGTTTTGAAAAAACATCCTTACAGTCTAGATTTAAACAAAGCGAACTTCTTTCAGTACCCTGAGGGGCTGTGATTTCTCTCTCACATCTAGGCATTGTCATGCTGTTCTCTCCCACATCCAGGCCTTTTCACTGATCCACTCCTCTCATGTTTCCTGGGAAAGCCTTTGCTAACCTTAAAGGCCCAATTGAAGGCCCCCCTAACCCGCTTGGCTTTTCCCACTATGGTAATTATCTCAGTACGCTACAATTCCCTGTTTGCTTTTATATCCTTATAATCTCTGTGAAGGAAGTGACTGTGTCTATATTGTTCACCTTAAATCCCTAAACATATTGTCTGACACCTAATTATGTATTTGTTTAATGAATATTAAATAACAACAAATATTGAAACTAAGTTATCAGGTCACCAAGAACAAACTTAAAGAAATATAATGTATAAATATGGCTGATATTTCTGTGTGCTTCTTTTCTTCTTTTCCTTCTCTCAGCTCTTAGAGAGTTAAAAGTATAGAGAGGGAAAGGTGAAAGATATCAAATAACCCTGATAAATGTAGTAAGTATAACAATAAACACATTATCAAGATTCAGTGGTTGAAGAACAAGTGGTGGTCATGTCTTTTAATAGTTGTGTTGGTCCTTAGGGCCAGTTCTTTGTTACTGTGTGTTTCTTAAACGGAACAGTTCAAAACAGTTAACTCCACTATGTCTGAAGCAATATTGGTGGCATTAAGGTTAGTGCGTGGATTCCCAAGAAAGATAACTTGAGGCCACACTGTTTAACATATATCAATTCAATTATGTTCAATCAACACTAGTCCTCTTATCTCTGACAAGAAGGATTTCAGGTCTTGGATAACTCAAAAATAATCATGTTTGTCTGAGAGGATGCAGTAAACGGTTAGGCCTCTTAGTGTCGCTGTTGACCACTCAAGAAGGAGAACGCAGCTGGAGAACTAGTCCATTTCCTTGCTCCTGCAATGCAAAGAACCAGCAAATTAGACTCAGAAAATCCGAGGCGGCTGCCAACCTCACCTCTTAGTCAACGAGCGGTTTGACCTGTGAATTAGGCCCGTAAAATACTTCGTTTCTTGAGAAAATAAGATTGGAGTCCGTCGTGGGAAACTGGAACCGAATTCAGAGAAAGCTATTCCCCGAAAAGGAAATGACCAAATGCCTGAGTTTCCGAAATGGCAGAGGACTGGCCCTGCTGTGCGCGCTTCTGGGGACGCTGTGTGAAACAGGATCCGGTCAGATCCGCTACTCGGTGTCTGAGGAGCAAGATAAAGGTTCCTTCGTGGGCAACATCGCTAAAGACCTGGGGTTAGAGCCCCGGGAGCTGGCTGAGCGCGGAGTCCGCATCGTCACCAGAGGTAGGACGCAGCTTTTCTCTCTGAATCCGCGAAGCGGCAGCTTGGTCACCGCGGAGAGGATAGACCGGGAGGAGCTCTGCGCTCAGATCCCGCTGTGTCTGGTAAAATTTAACATCCTGGTTGAGGATAAATTGAAAATTTTTGAAGTAGAAATAGAAATTAAAGATATTAATGATAATGCTCCTAATTTCCCAACAGAGGAATTGGAAATAAAAATTGGTGAACTAACGGTTCCTGGGACCCGATTTCCACTTAAAACTGCTTTTGACCCAGATGTAGGCATGAACTCCCTGCAGAACTACAAGCTTAGCCCTAATGACTACTTCTCCCTGGCTGTGAATAGCGTCTCTGAGGGGGCCAAGTATCCAGAGCTGGTGCTGGAGCAGGCCCTGGACCGTAAGAAAAAAGAAATTCACCAGCTTGTCCTGGTTGCCTCTGATGGTGGCGACCCTGTCCACTCTGGCAACTTGCACATCCAAGTGATAGTCCTGGATGCAAATGACAACCCACCAATGTTTACTCAGTCTGAGTACCGTGTAAGTGTTTGGGAGAACGTGCCTGTGGGTACCCGGCTGCTCACAGTGAATGCTACTGACCCTGATGAGGGATTCAACGCTCAAGTGTCTTATATTCTAGATAAAATGCCTGGGAAAATCGCTGAGATTTTCCATCTCAACTCAGTGAGTGGAGAAGTATCAATATTAAAAAATCTAGATTATGAGAATGCCATGTTCTATGAAATTAAAATTGAAGCACAGGATGGACCAGGTCTTCTTTCAAGAGCCAAGATTCTACTCACGGTTCTGGATGTGAATGACAATGCTCCAGAAATTACAATTACGTCTCTCACAGGCTCAGTGCCAGAAGAGGGCACCGTTGGAAGAGAAATTGCTCTTATCGATGTGCATGACCGAGATTCTGGGCAGAATGGGCAGGTTGCAGTTTTTGTCCTGGGAAATCTGCCATTTAAGTTAGAAAAATCAATAGACCAATATTACCGCTTAGTGACGGCCACATCCCTAGACCGCGAACAAATGTCAGAATATAACATTAGTCTGAGAGCCTCAGATGGGGGAAGCCCGCCACTGTCCACAGAAACTCACATCATCTTGAATGTGATTGACATCAATGACAACCCACCCACCTTCCCCCACTTATCCTACTCCGCCTACATTCCAGAAAACAACCCCAGAGGAGCCTCCATATTCTCAGTGACGGCCCAGGACCCAGATAGCAACGACAACGCCCACATCACTTATGCATTGACCGAGGACACCCTCCAGGGGGCGCCCCTGTCCTCCTACGTCTCCATCAACTCCAACACTGGCGTCCTATATGCGCTGCGATCCTTCGACTACGAGCAATTTAGAGACTTGAAACTACTGGTGACAGCCAGCGACAGCGGGAACCCTCCACTCAGCAGCAACGTGTCGCTGAACCTGTTCGTGCTGGACCAGAACGACAATGCGCCCGAGATCCTGTACCCCGCCATCCCCACAGATGGTTCCACCGGCGTGGAGCTGGCGCCCCGCTCCGCAGAGCCTGGCTACCTGGTGACCAAGGTGGTGGCGGTGGACAGAGACTCGGGCCAGAACGCCTGGCTGTCTTACCACCTGCTCAAGGCCAGCGAGCCAGGACTCTTCGCGGTGGGGCTGCACACGGGCGAGGTGCGCACGGCGCGAGCCCTGCTGGACAGAGACGCGCTCAAGCAGAGCCTCGTGGTGGCCGTCCAGGACCACGGCCAGCCCCCTCTCTCCGCCACTGTCACGCTTACCGTGGCCGTGGCAGACAGGATCCCCGACATCCTGGCCGATCTGGGCAGCCTCGAGCCCTCCGCCAAACCCAACGATTCGGAACTCACTCTGTACCTGGTGGTGGCGGTGGCCGCGGTCTCCTGCGTCTTCCTGGCCTTTGTCATCGTGCTGCTGGCGCTCAGGCTAAGGCGCTGGCACAAGTCACGTCTGCTGCAGGCTTCGGGAGGCGGCTTAGCGAGCGTGCCCGGCTCGCACTTTGTGGGCGTGGACGGGGTTCGGGCTTTCCTGCAGACCTATTCCCACGAGGTCTCCCTCACTGCGGACTCGCGGAAGAGCCACCTGATTTTCCCCCAGCCCAACTATGCGGACACGCTCATCAGCCAGGAGAGCTGTGAGAAAAGCGAGCCTCTTCTGGTAACTCAGGATTTACTTGAAACGAAAGGAGATTCCAACCTACTTCAGGTGAGTTTATTTATTTCTTTGAATATTATGAAGAACAATTATGAGAATGTGGTTATTATAAAGCTTTAACACATGTGTATTTGAGAAATAAAGCCATGAGGTTGTCATTAGTCCTTTGGCTAAATATTTGTCCCCCTTTCTTTCTGGGCCTATAGTAGGACTGCACTCCCTGGTCTGATTATGGTTGAGTGGGCTTAGGGAAACAATAATACATTGTGAGTGGAGGTAAAGTGTGTCACTTCCTAGAGGAATCTGCAATTGTGGGAATTTTCGATCTCTAAGTTACTATTTGAAATTGTGACTGCTCCTTCTACCTGGGTCCTTGAGTAACTATGATGAGAGAACCACAACACTGGTCTGTATACCTGTGATAAATAGGCCTTTTTCATTTTAAATTCCTGTGCTTTGGAGTTTGTCATTCCAGCCTATATAGCCTATCCTGATACATACAAGTAAAAATATATATGAATAAAATATATTTTATATGCCCATGAAATTAAATTATGTTTAACTCCTTCCAAGACAGATGAAAAAGTAGAGGCTGATCAAATGGTTTTACCTATAATGCCTGTTACGTATGCCTAAAGTATATGCTTATGTGTGTATTCATATTTCAACATTTTGCCTGAGGGTGGAAAGTTCACCTACCTAAACTATTATGAGCCTTGGAGTGGTATTTCTTGCCCTTGAGAAGGATATTAAAAATAAGTAAGGGAATATGTCTCAGCCTCTGTGGCGGATTTCCAGACCGTCTCTTCCAACAATGGAATAGAAGTCCCTTCTTTTGTCATGTTCTACAACTTTCTTCATCCAGAAATTGTTGGCTTATTCTGCAATTTATGAAATTATTTTCACTCATGAAATCATGTAAGAGAGTCATCCAAAATTAGACCAAAATATATTTTATTAGAACCCAAATGAAAGAATAGATTCCTCCCTCAATATATTAGGAAAAGGCACATTTAAATGTATGAGACAACAGGGCCAGAACACAAAAGCTGTAAGCAGAGTAAGGTGTATTCTCACTCAAACATGCAAATACATCACAGAATTTTAAAGGCCCATAGCCAGGGGAGGACTTCTGAGCCTAGGACTTCGAGACCTACTTGGGCAACATAGGATGATCCTGTCTCAAAAGAAAAAGGCGTGTAACTTTTAACGTATCATTTTTAGAAAAAAAAAAGTTTATAGTATCAGTATCACTTTCCCTGTAAGGAGAAAAAAAAGTTAATTAGCTAGTGTCAGGGGGGATTTGTATGCTCAAAGAGAATTTCTAAGAATTCTATATGAAATATAGCCTACATATGTGTCATGAAAATACACTGAGAATATGGAACCCACACAATTCCACCTACTTGTACAGGTGATGGAAGATCTTGGACATCCCATTTTCACTAAAAAGGGTTTATTTTTATTTTTTTGAAGAATGGGCAAGAATCCATTGCAACAGAAAGGGAGGAGAAGTTCATAATAAAAGGAACAGAAAGTATAAAGGCATGATGCAAGGAAACAAGTGAAAAGGTATCTTAAGAAAACAGATAATAGGCTGTTTCAACTGGAGTATGAGTATGGGTGAGCACTGCAAAATAGTAGAATAAACTGTTGAGTTGGATCTCATTTGGTAATGCATTTGAAATAAAGGGATTTGCTTTGAACCAAGACGAGTTCTAAGCCTGGAACTACAGAATAAGTTGCAGAATTGGGTGTCTAAGAACTCTGAATACATCTCCAATATTTACCAGTGGTCAAGTCAAACTCGTTTTGCTCATTGATGGTTTAAGTTGGCTGGAGCTGAGAATTGGCATTATAGAGAATGTTTTTGAGACAGAGTCTTGCTCTGTCACCCAGGATGGACTTCAGTGGCATGATCTCAGCTCACTGCAAACTCTACCTCCTGGATTAAGCGATTCTCCTGCCTCAACCTCCCAAGTAGCTGGGGTTACAGGTACCTGCCACCATGCCCAGCTAATTTTTATTTTTTTAGTAGAAACGGCTTGCACCATGTTGGCCAGACTGGTCTTAAACTCCTGACCTCATGTGTTCTTCCCATGTTGGCCTCCCAAAGTGCTGGGATCACAGGTCGCTGCACACAGCCTAGAGTATTTCATATACATTCATTTAAAAAAGAAACACTGGTTTCATAAAACAAATATACATTATATGAAATTCCACTTCATAAAAGCATGTGTGTGTACCCCAATACTAAATTTGCCCTTTTAACAAAATATCAGACTTTGCCCTACTTAACTGGAAATATTATCTATATTTTATAAAGAAGAGAAATATATTAACATAATCGTAAGGCTGTGATTTCCTCTTTTTTGCAAAAACTATCTTTGAAAAGTATTACTGACTTGATAACATATATATGGAGAGATTTAAAATACTAGATAAGGGAACTTATTCCAATGAATTTACAGAAAGGTAGGTATTTTAGTCCACTAAAAATATAAATAAAAATTATCAATTCACTTATATGGATACAGCAGTCATGCCAGAGTTTATAAATATAGTGAAATCACTGAAGATTTTTTTTGCCCCCAAAACTGAAAAAAATGACTGTGTGCCTTGTGAATTTTTTAAATGAAAAAAGAATACAAAATGATGAAGACCCTTATGTGATGATGACAAACTAGAAAATTGAAATGTAAAGGGGGAAATGTGAGTATTTGGTTCCTTCCAGCAAATTAAAGACAGGGTACATAGATTCAAGAGGTTGCGCTTTGAGGATAAATAGCTGGGCACTGTGCAGTTTTCCAAGACAGCCTCTGGGCGCCGCTGTCGACCAAAAGGAAGTGAAGGCGTCTCAATTCTGCAGGAGCGTCAGGCAGGGTGCCTTCCTGCCTTGTCCGGTGCACTGAGGACGGACGCTGCCCCTGTTCACCCTCGAGCGCCTAACTGATAAGTCTTACGCTCAAATTACAGAAGTCCAGGGTGCTGTCATTGCTTTTTAAAAAAAACATCCCAGAGAAAAGAAGCTCCGCGGAGAGTTCCTGAAATGCAGAGAGTCAGAGAAGCCGAAACGATGAAAAGTCAGGTACTGTTTCCCTTTCTGCTGTCTTTGTTCTGCGGGGCCATCTCCCAGCAGATCCGATACACGATTCCAGAGGAGCTAGCCAACGGCTCACGGGTGGGGAACCTTGCTAAGGATCTGGGGCTCAGTGTCCAGGAGTTGCCAACTCGAAAACTGCGGGTTAGTGCAGAGGATTATTTCAACGTTAGTTTGGAGAGCGGGGATTTGTTAGTGAACGGTAGGATAGATCGAGAGAAGATTTGCGGAAGGAAACTTGAGTGTGCACTAGAATTCGAAACGGTCTCTGAAAACCCAATGAATGTTTTCCACGTGGTTGTTGTAATCCAAGATATTAATGACAATGCACCACGTTTCGTTGCAAAAGGCATTAACTTAGAAATTTGTGAGTCAGCCTTACCCGGGGTAAAATTCTCTCTGGATTCTGCGCAAGATGCAGATGTGGACGGCAATTCACTGAAGATATACACCATCAACCCCAATCAATACTTCTCTCTGTCAACGAAGGAAAGTCCTGATGGAAGTAAATATCCGGAATTACTGCTGGAAAAACCTCTAGACAGGGAACATCAGAGCTCTCATCGCTTAATCCTGACTGCCATGGATGGCGGGGACCCGCCTCTAAGCGGCACCACCCACATCTCGATCCGAGTCACCGATGCCAATGATAATGCTCCCATGTTTAGCCAGGATGTATACAGGGTTAGCCTCCAAGAAAACGTGCCGTGGGGAACCTCCGTGCTGCGGGTGATGGCCACAGACCAGGATGAGGGCATTAATGCAGAGATCACCTATGCCTTCCTCAATTCCCCAATAAGTACCAGCCTCTTCAATCTCAATCCAAATACCGGCGACATCACAACCAATGGCACATTGGACTTTGAAGAAACAAGTAGATATGTGTTGGGTGTAGAAGCCAAGGATGGAGGAGTACACACAGCTCACTGTAATGTTCAAATAGAAATCGTTGATGAGAATGACAATGCCCCTGAGGTGACATTCATGTCCTTCTCTAACCAGATTCCAGAGGATTCAGACCTTGGAACTGTAATAGCCCTCATAAAAGTGCGAGACAAGGATTCTGGGCAAAATGGCATGGTGACATGCTCTATTCAGGAAGACGTTCCTTTCAAATTAGAATCCACCTCGAAGAATTTTTACAAGATGGTGATTGGTGGAGCCCTAAACCGGGAGCAGACAGCAGACTACAACATCACAATCATAGCCACCGACAAGGGCAAACCATCCCTTTCCTCCAGGACAAGCATCACCCTGCACATCTCCGACATCAACGACAATGCACCTGTTTTCCATCAGGCCTCCTACGTGGTCCATGTGGCTGAGAACAACCCACCTGGAGCCTCTATTGCACAAGTGAGCGCCTCCGACCCGGATTTGGGACCCAACGGCAGCGTCTCCTACTCTATTCTGGCCAGTGACCTGGAGCCGCAGGAGCTGTTGTCCTACGTGTCCGTGAGCGCGCAGAGCGGGGTGGTGTTCGCGCAGCGCGCCTTCGACCACGAGCAGTTGCGCGCCTTCGAGCTCACACTGCAGGCCTGCGACCAGGGCTCCCCCGCGCTCAGCGCCAACGTGAGCCTGCGAGTGTTGGTGGGCGACCTCAATGACAATGCGCCGCGGGTGCTGTACCCTGCGCTGGGGTCTGATGGCTCTGCACTTTTCGATATGGTGCCACGCGCCGCAGAGCCTGGCTACCTGGTGACCAAGGTGGTGGCGGTGGACGCAGACTCGGGACACAACGCCTGGCTGTCCTACCACGTGCTGCAGGCCAGCGAGCCCGGGCTCTTCAGCCTGGGGCTGCGCACGGGTGAGGTGCGCACAGCGCGTGCCTTGGGCGAGAGGGACGCGGCCCGCCA